AATACTACTCAAAACAACAATAGTTGCAGTAGAAAGAACTACGAAAGAAATAGTGAATCAGATAAGAGAGAATTCAGATAACTGGAAATTGTTCGAAACCGCTCCGAGTTGTAACGAGTGTCGCTACAATCGTTACGGAGCAATTCACGCAAACGGTGAAGGGTATTGGGACAGCGTGTCCAGCCTTCCGTAAGGAAACAAGAGCGTTTTTTCCCCGGATTCCAGAATCCGGAGGGGTCTCGGACGGGGAACTTAAACTGTTTTACATAAGCTTTTAGCTTCCTGGTTATGTCCTGAATTGAATTTAATTAACATCAAGATTCATTTTCAGATAATGAGAAGCTAGGATTTGAGGGAAAGGATTGATCCATCTTCGATGGAGATGATGATTTTTATCAACTGAACAAAAACAATCGTAATATAAAATATAGTAGTAGCCTTGTTTTTAGGAGTGACCTCGTGGTCTGGGGATACTGAGACCCAGCCATGAGCTCACTATTCTTGCATATAGTTAAGTTATAACTTGAGTGTTTTGACCGAAGCCAAAAGCAATAACGTTTTTGTCGACCCGATGTTAGGAAAACCACCAAAAGAACTGGCTTTGGCAGAGACGGTGAAAAGCATGTAGAGCTGTGTTTGGATGCTAGCCAGTCGTTTTAGAACCTTGCTTTATTTTCTGTCGATATGTACTTCCGGGCGAATGTTACACTTTGAGCTTTTTTAAGTTACTTCAAAACCGAATCAGCTCGCGAAACATTTTAGGTTTTTCGAAGCAAGCTATTCAAGCTACGAAACTTTGAAACATTGCAAGTTATGTAGTGGATTAAATCGGTCCGCAAAAAGCTTTAAAATTTTCTAAGCAAACTTTTAAAGCTAAGAAATTTTTAATTATTTCAATTTATTTAACATTTGCCCGGAAGTACATATCGACAGAAAATAAAGCTAGGTTGTAAAACGACTGGCCAGCGTCTAAACAAAGCTCTACATGCTTTTCACCGTCTCAACCAAAGCCATTTCTTTTGGTGGTCTTTCTAACATCGGGTCGACAAAAAAAACGTTACTGTTTCTGGCTTCGATCAGAACGCTCTGATTAACTTAATTATATGCAAAATAGTGAGCTCATGGCTGGGTCTCAGTATCCCCAGACCACGAGGTCACTCCTAAAATCAGGGCTACTACTTATTTATTGTTTTATTATTGTTTTTGTTCAGTAGATCAAAATCATCATATCCATCAGAGTTGGATCAACCCTTTCCCTCAACTACTAGCTTCTCATACTCTGAAAATGAATTCAATTTTGATTAAATTCAACTCAAGACATTCCAGGAAGCTAAAAGTTTTTAAAAATGAGTTAAATTTTCCTTCCCGAGACCCCCTGAAATCTGGACGAAGAGCGAATGTCACATTTTTTCAAAGACTGTTTCGGTTTGCGAAACTTTTAAGTTTTTCTGAGCAAGCTACTAAATCTATGAAACTTCGAATCATTTCATAATACTTCTTAGACTGAATCGTTCGCGAAAAAAAAACCGTCCGCGAAAAGTCAAAGCAAGCTGATTCCAAGTTGTTTTATAGACTGAATCGTTCGCGAAAAATTCAAGTTGTTCTAAGCGAGCTTTTTCAGCAAGAAAAACTAAAATAGTTCAGCTCTTTTGACAAATCGAAATAGTTTGCGGAAAGCTTAGAGTTTTCAATGCAAGCTTCTAAAGCTATGAAAATTTCGAATATTTCATGTTATTTCATGGACCAAATCGGTTCACGAAAAGTCTTTAAAAAATTTTTAAGCAAGCTTTTAAAGCTGTGAAACTTTTTCAATTTAATTTATCTTTTTTTAAGTTGATAAACTTTATGTTTTTCTAAGCAAGGTTTGCAAGCGATAAAACTTTGAAATAAATCAAAACAATTTTATAGCGCAAATCGGTTTAGTTTTTCTAGCAAGGAGGTTGTTGATTTCAGTTGGCTCATTTCAAAATGAACTGAAACTGAAACGGCAAACTTCGGAAAAAATGGACAAGCACTGTCTAGCCTTGAAAATGAATTA